CAATGTGAGCGTTGGCTGTGACTCGTCCAGATCGACCTTAGGAGTAGAGGAGGTAGCGGAAGAGGCGCTGGAGGCTGCGGCTGGTGCAGCAGGTTGTGTGCTGGCGCTGCTCGGGGCACCTGGCGTTGGGCTGCCGAGACGTTGTCCGCTTCCTGAGAATGGCTTATATGCCTTCTTCGGTGGCACGTACTTCTCATCCTTGTGTGGCTCAAGATTCAGGTCCACCTCTTGTCCTGGTTGAACTCCCAAAAGCGCCAAAGGAGCGCGACCTTGGTTGATGAGGGCAAGAGTTGGGCCGTTGGCGGGGTCGTCGAAGCGGTAGAGCGGGCCGTCGTCTACGGAGAAGCCATCTTGCCAGAGGTGAAGGGTACGGGTGACGCGTGGAAGGGTTGGGGTACGGGTGGCTGCGCGTGGGTCGTCGAGGACCTGAGAAGGAGCGTCATCACCACCGAGGGTCTGCGCGCGACCAGTGAAGTTGGAGGTGCGCGCCGGCCTCTCGTCGTCATCACCGCCGGGGCGCTCGCGGTTTCTGATGTGTCGTTAGTATGTACACTTCTCCCGCACACTCACAGCCAGCACGTACTGCCTAGCCTGGTTCATAATGTTCCTGAAGTGGTCTGGAGGTCCGTTGTTGGGATTCTGAACAGCAAGACCCGACTTCTCTCCGCCAGCGAAGAAGTCCTGCTTTTCATCCTCCGAGTCATCATCGCCTTGTGGTCCTGAGCTACCGCCTTGCAAGTCCTTCAGTGTCCGTAGCTTGCTCTGTCCTTGAGCAGGTCTTGAAGAGTGCGAAGTAGAGGATGAAGACGATGCCTGTGCTGGCTGTGGCGCGCTCGAGGGGATAGGCTGTGGCGCGTCGTCGTCCTCGTCCATCTCGTCGTCGTCACCTGCTGGATCGTCTTGGCTTGCGTAGAAGAGGCTGACGGCTTCCTCGAGGTTCCAGTTTGTGTTCAAGAGCGCGGCTTGAGCCTAAAGAAATCGTAAGCGCGAACGTACAGACACCCCGCCAAAGCAGCCTTACCGTGGAAGGTGAGGCGCCGGTGATGCCGCAGAACTGCTGTACGAGGTTGTCGTGGTCCATCGTGCGTTAGTCGGGGATATGAAAGCAGAGGGGGTACGAGAGGTGCAGTTGTCTGTCGGGGAGAGAGAGGCTGTTGATGAGTCTCGAAGCTCGTGAAGGTACAACGATAAGGCAACGTCATACACCGCACGGACGCAAACTCTCGGCTCCTGCCGAATAGAGCAGCGATTGAGCTTGGGGGAGCAAGTGAATCGCAGACAGCCATCCCCACCTCCAGCAAACGACCTGTGTACTGTATCCTGTCCTGCGACTGCAATCTTCCAAAACCAAACACAACCAACAGGTCTCGGCTGCCAACATCTTCGCCTCAGGGGCGTTCTTCCACATCCCTGCCTCTGATCGTCCGCAGCCATGTCCTACAATGGCCGCCAAGACCTCTCCGAGTCGTCTGTGACAATCCCGTCCGACAGCGAGAACTACGATGCGAACCACGAGCTGTCAGATTCGCCAGAGTCCTCTTCCAGCTCGCCCATGATTCTCTACTCTCCGCCGACGATCTGGGGCCTGCTAAGAGGAGCTGCGATAAACGTACTGTTACCGTTCGTCAACGGTATGATGCTGGGTTTTGGAGAGTTGTTTGCGAACGAGTTGGCTTTCAGGTTTGGTTGGTCAGGAACGAAGGTGGGTACATCTGGGAGCGAGAGGTCCCAAGACACCGTGAAGCCAAATCGTCTGCGGTCGTGCTCTCATACAATCCCGGGCTTGCCATACATCGACTGGAGCAGGATGCTGATATCGTGCTAGGTCTTCCCAAGCAACCGGGGGCACGGCGTGTGGGACCTGGTGTCGAAATGCGAGAGGATCCTGTGGAGCGGAGACGGCGCGACGGAGAGGAGTTGGATGCATATACTGCGATGGAATGAAGCATGATACCCATACAAGTGGGCCGAAAGTCGGCAGCATTGATCTCGTGTTGAGCGAATGTACATAGAATGTCTCTGAGCATGGCATGGGCGAAAGGCGCATTCAGTGGCGATCCCGGAGTCTACGAAAGGTTGTCGTTTCGAGATAGAAATATCGGAGTCTGGACACTCAAACGGTCGTTCGAGTCTGACCATTCAAAAGGCTATCGTTTATGATGACAATCAGTCACTGTTGCAAGTCAAGATCGTGTCTGTGTAGCGTCTCCAGCCTGCTTCATCGCTGATGCGCTGGGGGCGTTGCGGGCAGCCGTAGCATGGAGGGCAATGGAGCGACCGCCGTTTGTCGACATTTACTTGAATCTAGTAGCCTCGCAATGTCGTTGTTGTTGCCCTATAACAGTACCATTTCGGCTTGGCGAAGTCCCATTCGGAAGCACAGGTTAAGTTACCATCATTTTGGACGGGCCAACGAAAGCAACAGAGTCCCTTCATGACTATGCGGCGCCGCCACTCGAACCAGACAAAAGGAGTTCTCGTTATGGAGGAACGCTGCTAGAAGGTAGCACTATCCGCACACGAGTACGCGTAGTAGTTGGATCGATCGCAGTGGGTGCCTCCCCATAGGTGCCTGCCCGGAAGTGGAGTATATGGTGCCCATCTTCCCTGGACGCCGTACCTCCCATCATGTTCTTATAACGGGTGACCGTCGTATCTTTCAGGACGATCATGAGCCTGATGACTGTACCTACACGACTGTTGTCTGCTATTCACTTGAGCGGAAGATCAAGAGACTGGAGAAGTTGGTGGGAGAGCCGCAAGGGCAAAGTGAGCAAACAGGGCCCTGAAATGCCGCCGGCCGGTCATCGTGTTAAGGCTGTCCCAGTTCCAATAAAACTCCCTCGCTCTGTGAGTAACCATCATGATGCCCAGCAGGGGATTCCTTTCGCCGTGCCATGCCCGAGGCATCGGCCGTGCCCTTCAGCCTTTACGGCCTGCTCAGGCTCAGAGACACGTATGTTCATTGGACATTCCTCGCGGCGCATCTACTCATCCATCTACAGCTCTCTACCGCGCCTTTGGCTAGACAATCGCCAGCATGGCGGCCGCGCCCGAGAGCCTTTGCCGCCCCCGTCCTCATCTCCGCCGTCTCCCAGTCCCGTCTCGCCTCCACCTCCGCTGCCACCACGCCTTCGTCCACCGTCTCCGAAACCGCCTCTGCAGCAGCCTCCTCCGCCCCAGTTGAACCCACTTTCTCCGGCTCAGATGTCATCTCAGCCGTCACCCCGGATCTCGCAAACATGCCTGAGCAGATTGGTTACTTGAAAGCGATCGGCATCGACTATGGCTTGGGCCCAACGAGCATGATTGAATGGATCCTCGAGCACGTGCACGTCTACAGCGGTCTGCCATGGTGGGGATCAATTGTCACTACGGCCTTGTTGATACGCGTTGGTCTATTCCCTTTGGTATTGAAGTCCTCAGATGTCGGCGCACGGCAGGCGGCCATGGCTCCCTTAACAAAACCGATCAACGACCGGCTGATGGCCGCTTTTGCCGTCAAGGACGCAGCTACGGTGCAGCAGTGCCGTGAGGAACTGAAACGCGTGTACGCGCGTTCCGGAGTCAGCCCAACCAGCCTGCTGTTCCCCATGCTCAGCCAGGGAGTCGTCGGATACTGCACGTTCAAGTTGATGCGCGCCATGGCAAACCTGCCCGTGCCTGGATTGGAGACTGGCGGATTTGGCTGGATCACCGACCTTACCCAATCGGATCCTTATTACTTGCTTCCTGCGCTCATGGCGGCATCACTGCACATCATGTTTCGCTTCGGTGGTGAAAGCGGAGTAGCAATGCAGCAGTCGACGCCGGGCATGCGCACTCTGATGCTCTACGTTTTCCCCGGTGTCATGTTCACCACCATGTCCTGGCTGCCCGCTAACCTGGCTGTCTGGTTCTCGGTGACTGGTCTTACCGGAATCGTGCAAGCCCGCGCTCTACAGCTTCCCCGCGTACGCTCCTGGTTCGGTCTTGCACCCCTGCCTCGCGGATCCGGTAGCCCTTTCGACAAGCCTAGCGCCGCTCCCCAAACACCAGCACCATTGACGTAGCCGGCACCTCGCGCGCCTACAGCGCCAGCTCCTCCACCTCCGCCACCTCCGCCTCGAAACCCAGCGGATCAGGCCTACATTACCAAGCTCCGAACATCCGTACCACTGCTTCCCCTACATCCTCCACTTCCTCGCGCACGGCATCCACAGTGGCGCCGCAGCCAGTGCCGGAGAAGCCAGCCTTCCTAGAGCGTGCCAAGGATTCCGTGGTCGGACAGGTCAACGCCGTCGGTCAGAGCTGGGAAAATGTCCTGAACCAGTGGAAAACGCAGAGGGCGGCAATAAGCGGACAGGGCCCCCAGAAGCCCGGTTCTCGCAGCAAGGAATTCTTGGCGAGGGCTAACGCTTACGAGAAGAAGTATGGCAGTTCGAAGAAGAATTAGAGGAGGGAGATGTGGGACACCCGGACAGGATGCCCCATGAAGAACGAAGCCGTGGGAATAGGATGTATTGTTCCAAGATGCCGCCCTGACGAGTTCTTGTACTTTCTTGTGTTACTATATAAATCTTTTGCATCCGGCGGCGTTGTTTCTGGCTTGCCTGTACAACACAGAACAAACAAGGAGAAATTCGCTCCATCCACTCAGCTCTTGTCGGTATTCGGGGAAAGATCCAGTCCGGTAATTAGTCGGTGAATGCAGGTTTGAAAGGAGCGAAGCATCCTCCACCAACCTCTTCTCTAACCCCTTCACCCCTGTCCCCAACACGCCCACCGTCGATTGCGAACACCTCTGCTTCCCCCTTAACACCCCGTCATCCTCATAGACCTTTCTTTCCCCTTCTTCCCTTACTCAAGAGATGTCAGATATGCGGAAGAGATCCACGGCACGCTCCAGGGCTTTCTCGTAGCGAGCTGTGTCGGATTGCCGTCAGTGTCAGTGAGGTTCGAGCAGTCAAGACCGGGGACGTATTGTAGGCATATTTTTTCATGCTCCAAGATCAAAAATATGGTCCCTACGAGGGTCGAACTCGCGACCTTGGCGTTATCCTGAGATCAATCTCATTATTAGCACCACGCTCTAACCGACTGAGCTAAGCGACCTTGATGTCTCATCTGTGGAAGGCTCTTTCCTGAGCTCAGCTGCTCCTTGCTGATGAGCTTCAGTTCAATTTGTTTCAGATATAATCCTTTATTCTTAATCTGCTCCTTGTCTATTCCGTTTCTTCTGCTCCTTCCCTGTCTGCTCCTTCCTTATCCACTCTTGCCTTCTTTAACTAGCGTTGCTAGTATAGACATGTAGTCAAAGGCGAAGGCTTTTACGGTCAACCTGTATTGGACCAAGCGCGTCAGATTGCGGGATCTGGTGAGTGCAATTGACAAGAGGAGGGGTTTGAGCGACCTGGACGATGACTGGTCGGTAAATAACCGTCAAGACACGCAACAACCACAAGCGGTTGCATCGCACTGATGGTGCCCAAATTGATTCGGCCAGGAAGGAAGAGGGACTGCAAAGACAAGGACACGTGTGACAGTCTAAGTGGTATGCATTTGTGGCATCCTTATTTGGAACTTTGAGTGCGATTGTCACGATGATGTTCAAGATGAACAACACTCTATCCCTACCCAATCTCATTCAAAAAGCGAACACCAATGTTGGATGGGAACAACATGTCTCACACCGGGAACAGAGGACTGGAGGGGCGAGAAATTGGTTGGATATTGACCGATATTAGTATCGTGTCGTCCGCTACTACAACAACGACATCTAAAAGCCGTGGCAGGTGACCCCCGCTTCTATCGGCAAAGTACCCGAGTATCATGCAATGTAAGATGCAGTCACAAAAGATGAGACTGACTTACCAAGACATTCCTTGCGAATGTTGACAGTACCAGAGGGCCGCAGGCCAGCGGCTAAACATGCTGAGCGCACCAGACTCTCTAAACCCTCCTTGGGCATCTGGCCAGCGGCGAGCTTGGGGCTTGTACAGCTAATGCAGAAGCGATCAGCCTGTTCTCTGGATGAGCATGCGGCAGTACGTCAGTGCAGTGATACCCGCTCCCGTTTCCAATTCTGCTGGTCTCTTTACGGTTCCACTCGTCGAACAGTATCACAACCCCATCTTTCAGGACGGTGCTCTCTTCTTCTGCCTCTGTCCGTTCGAACGCGGACAGTTTTGCTTGCGGTGGCCCTTCTGACCGCACTGGAAACATGTAATATCCGGTGAACCTTGCGACTCCCTTCCTCCGGTGGATATCCGCCCGTTCGTGTTCAGCTTGACTTCTTTTGACCGTCTTTCTGCTGCCAGCCGTAATGATTCCGCTTTTGCCGCCTTCCTCTTCGCTTTTCGCTCTGCGCGAGCCTTCTCTGCTGCTTCTTTTCGTGATTCCGATATCAGAGCACCCGCGGGATCGTCGCCGTAATCAAGATCGTCGTCCTCGTCCGATTCGGATTCGGAGTCTGAATCAGACCCTGAAGATGAAGAAAGGTCGGGATTCTGCTGCCTCTGTTTCCTGTGAGTGACGCATCCAGCGGTAATCGCGCGGTTCAGACGCACCTCTATCGCCCTGTTGAACTTCCCGAAGCTTCTCCTCCCTGGTAGACCTGGGCGCATTGTCTCTGATTCATCGTCATCCGCAGTGTCCGTATGGGCGCCTCCTGCAGAATCAATCGTGGAGTATCCAGCTGTGACTATGCGCATTGGCGTGTGGGCCGCAATTGGTTGCTGGTCTTTAAAACTCAACACCCATTTCGTCTCTCCTGCGTCAGCGGCCTGCCTCTCGAGCGCTTGTGTCCTCTTCAGCTCTTCTGCGGCTAGCGCGTCGTGCACCGCTTGGGCATCGGCGGAAGGTGTAGCTGGAGAACCGTCCCCTAGACGTTGTCTTTTCGAAGAAGGTTCGGAGGGTACGCTTGGTGAAGTTGTTGGTGACGAAGCTGCCGCTCTTTGCATGAACTGCAGGATAGTCAGACAGATCTTGTGGAGAAGTGGCCCGGCGCATGCGGTACCTTCATCGTCAGAAGCCTGGAAGACATTGTCTTCCCAGGCTTATCTGGTGTAGACATGTTTACAGTTCGTATGCCTCTGCAACTCGTGATAGTGTTTGCAACTTGTGATAGTGGATTGCTTCGGAGATGGAGTTGTCGTGTCGTTCGACACTAACGATTTGGTGGCAGCTTTGTAGAATGTTTCGCGACAAGAAACATTGATTGAGTGACGCGCTTGCCGATCAGGGCTTTTCGGATGAAGCCGACAACCCTCTCATACACTTCGCTCTGCTTCACTCCACTTCTTGCTCACGCCTCTCTCTTTGCATGAACGTTAACTTTGCCGTCCATCGCGTCTCTGTGTTTGGTCCATCAATGGTTGCTCGCGTGTGTTTACTGCGGTCAGAAGATGTTTAGTCCTTCGCAGCAGATTTCTGTTACTACTGCCGCTGTTGAGAAGAGCAAGGGGAAATGGAACCGTCCTTTGGTCTGTCGACACTTCCATATCTTTGGAACACATCCCATGTTCTGCTCTTGTGTGTAGTAGCAGTGAATGGTGCAGCTTTAGACGTTGAGACATTGAGTACAATTTAGAAAGCCCTTACAGCTCCACGTTGTACAACAAACCGTCTACCCAATCAGCTCTTGAAGTAAACGGTTCGTGCCTGTTCTTTCCTTACTATTTCATACGCTTCCGCAGCTGCTGAACAAGTGAACGTTCGCCAAGCGTTCGGAGATACATCACGATGATGTGTTCCTGGACGCTGGGCTGTCGTCTCGAAGGGCCATACAGCTTATGGGCCAGTCAATCTGGGGGCGCACTCTCTGTCAGCATTACTGCAGGGGTTGTCTGCTGCATTTTTCACCGTTCATGACGTGCTTTACGTCATCATTGCCGCCTTGAAAAACCCTCGAGACGCGGTGCACAGCTGCCCGCACGCGTGACGCACCGCTTGTCGTTGCATTGATTTCTCACACACCCACGGTACCACCATCAAAAAGCACAGCTCCTCTTTTCCCAACACCAACTGTTCGAGCAGGAATCGTTGGCAACGTGGCGAAGTGACCCGGCAAGGCGGGTTTTCCTTCACTCAGAACATCACCTCGGCGTTGGCTTGTTGAAGTTCCAGACGGGCAACAGAACAACTTTCACCCTTGCCTTCATCCGAAATCAAGTGCTGCGGCAAGTTCTGACGAGAACACTTCTGAAGTAACTATTATGAAGCTCTCTGTACACCTCGCCTAACACTCGCTGACCTCATAGCTGAAAGTCAAACACGCCCGTCATGTCGTTTTTAGCACTGCCACCTGAAGTGCTCACGGAGGTCGTCTCCTACCTTGACAAGGAAGATTTGCAGGATGTTCGCTTGGTCTGTCGCAGCATTGAGTCTGTCGCTATTGAAGTTCTGGGCAAAGAATGCTTCGCCGAACTGATGCACATCTACTCGTTTCACAGTCTCCAGACCCTAGCGGAAATTACCAATCACAAGGTTTTCGGCAAATACGTCAAGAAGGTCTTGATATGCACTGCCCGCCTGCTTCCGAAGGGAATCTACAAGTTTGGGCATATGGTGTATCGTGATCTCGCATATCTATCCCAGGAAGGTGGTCCAGATCTCATCGGGGATACCCTCGCCGCATACAAGGAAGGCGCTTTGGAGCAGGAAACCCTTACGAAGTATGACCGAGGCCGTTTCCTGTACCAAGCCTTCTCAAACTTGTCCCGACGCGTTGGCGGGAGTGGCAACAAGAGCGGCATCACGGTTGGTACCTGGAACTGCACTAGTCACAATCACATGAACAAGGGCTGTGGCGCTTGCCAATTCTGGCACGAGTTGCCAGAAGTGAACGACTTCGTTCCTTTCGAACGTGGTGGTGAAGCCAACATCTATTGGAGCACTGAGGTTCCTCAGACCTTGCGCATGGTTCTCGACGCAGCGGCCAGGGCCCAGGGTTGCATAAGTGGCATCGAGATGGATCTAGATTGTCTGTGTTCTGAGGTAGGCTTCGACGCCTTGGTCAGTATACTGGAAGACTCCGGTTTCATTACATCTGCGCAACTCCGGCCTGGCGTAGACCTTTTGTTCCAGCGACAGGAACTCGCCGTATTGAAGCATTTTGGCCGTGTGGATTTCATCTGCGACAAGATGGACACTGCCGGGCAGTTCCAACCTGATTACACCTTGAGACTCTACGGTTTGGTCCTGGACGAAGCCAATGACCCTGAGGAGTTCCCGACTCTGCTGGACTGGGATACCGTTGCTCGCATATCGCCTTTGATCCCCCTACACCGTATCACTAAGCTCCACCTGGAAAACATTCCATTTGCTGGCGAGGGTTTCATTGCTCTTCTCCGCCAACATATGCATGTGCTCACCAAGATAACACTGTTTGACATCACTCTGGCACCAGATTTCAAATGGGGTCAGATCTTCGTGGAGGTCATGCTTCAGGCTCCACTTGAATCAGTTCTCCTTGGGCGGTTGTTATATATGTCATCGGAAAGTGACGTCGATTCAGTGGGTTACGCCATTGGCACCGACCCTGACATTGACGTCGCTCACTGTACCGATGTTTCCAACCTTGCCGGCTCTTCCACCTACAAAATTGGCGCGAGGCCACTGCCCTCCGACATACAGCCTCCAAGATATCTGCAGAGCGACGAGCGTCTTGTCTTCCACAGAGGAAAGGCAGAGGTCACTGCCGGCCTCTCCGAGGTGATTGAGCACCTGAGGGCTCATGGTCACTAGTTCGACAAAGTTTGAGGGTTTCTCAGCAGCTGTCCACTCGCCCGACCGCTGTTTGCCGCAAGGCGACGAGGCACTGACTGAAGTGTTTTGAAAGCTGGATGCCGTGCTCGTCAGCCTGTTACAGCGGCCATTGGGCATGGAGGCGAATGGAATACGGGCCGCATTTAGTGCTTGTTGTGTATACAGACATGCCGCTGTGTTTGCTGCACTGCAACGGGGATTAACTCACCAGTCCAGCGGCTTTCCGAGATCGTCTTGTTGCGTTGCAAAGCAATGCCCACGAACTCGGTTTACAGATAGATGGAGGTTGGTGGGTGTTGAGTCTACGACGCTTGACAGCTGCATTGATCTTCTACGTTGCATTGAGC